GTGATCATCCTGTCTCAGCCTTCCACAGTGTTGGGATTACAGGCGTGAGCCACTGAACCTGCTGCTTTGTTTTTTTTTTCTTTTTTTAAATCAGAAGTCTCTTTATTGTAATTTAATTAAAGACTTTCCTACAAACATGTAGACCCTGTTTAGTAACATAGTTCATAACATAGTTCACCTTAAGATGGGATGCCTCTGGTCTGGATAGCATATTCTTTTCCTCCCGCTCCCCACCCAGCCAGTCCTGAATTTGAGGAAGTTTGTGGTTCTGGTGAAAAGAGACTCTTTGCTACTCTTTCTTACCAGCAAAATATACAGTCTTGAATCACTTAACAATGGAGATACTTTCTGAGAAATGTACCATCGGCAATGTCATCATTGTGTGAACATCATAGAGTGTATTTATACAAACCTAGATAGTGTAGCCTGCTACCCACCTAGGCTATATGGTATAGTCTGTTGATCCTAGGCTACCAACCTGTATAGCATGTTACTCTACTGAATATTGTAGGCAGTTGTAATGCAGTGGGAAGTATGTGTGTATCAAAATAGGAAAGGTATAGTAAAAATCTAGTATAAAAGATAAAAAATGGCATACCTGTATAGGGCACTTACCATGAAGGAAGCTTGCAGTACTGGAGGTTGCCCTGTGTGAGTGAGTGGTAGTGGATTTGAAGGTCTGGGACATTACTGTACACTACGATAGACTATAAGCATTGTACACTTAGGCTACACCAAAAAATTATTTTTTTAAATGTTTCTTCAATAATAAGCCTTGGCGGCCGGGCGTGGTGGCTCAAGCCTATAATCCCAGCACTTTGGGAGGCCGAGACGGGCGGATCACGAGGTCAGGAGTTCGAGACCATCCTGGCTAACACGGTGAAACCCTGTCTCTACTAAATAATACAAAAAACTAGCCGGGCAAGGTGGCGGGCGCCTGTAGTCCCAGCTACTCGGGAGGCTGAGGCAGGAGAATGGCGTAAAAAAAACCCCGGGAGGCGGAGCTTGCAGTGAGCTGAGATCTGGCCACTGCACTCCACCCTGGGCGACACAGCGGGACTCCGTCTCAAAAAAAAAAAAAAAAAATAATAATAATAATAAACCTTGGCTTACTGTAACTTTTTTATTTTTAAACTTTTGATTCTTTTGTATTAACATTTTTGTATTAAACTTTTTTGTATTAAACATTTTTAATACATTTGTATTAAACATTTTAAATAAATGTTTAATAAACATTAATAAACAGATTTATTTAATAAACATTTATTAATAATAAATTAATTAACAGATTTATTAATTAAATAACAGATTAATTAACAGATTAATTATTGATTAATTAACAGATTTATTTAATGAACATTAAATAATCAGATTTATTTAATAAACATTAAATAATCAGATTTATTTAATAAACATTTTTAAACATTTTTAATAAAACATTTGTATTAAACATTTTTGTATTAACATTTTGTATTAAACTTTTGATTCTTTTGTATTAGCATTTTGTATCAACTTTTGATTCATTGTATCATACAGCTGTGCAAAAATATTTTTTCTTTGTATCCTATAAGCTTTTTTCTCTGTTACAATCTTTTTTAAAAAAACTTTTTTGTGAAAAACTAAGACACATACACACATATTAGGCCTATTCAGGATCATCAGTATCACTGTCTTCCAGCTCCTCTTGTCCTACTTGAAGGTCTTCAGGGGCAGTAACACACATGGAGCTGTCATCTACTATGACAACATTGCTTTCTGGAATACCTCCTGAAGGACCTGCCTGAACCTGTTTTACAGTCAACTTTTTTTTTTTTTTAAATAAGCAGAAGGAGTACACTAAAATAATCATTAAAAGTATAGTATAGTAAATACTAGGCAATAGGAATTTTTCAGTTCCATTACAATCTTAGGGGACCACTGTCTTTTTTACAGTTCATCATTGACTGAAACTCATACAGCGCATGACTGTATTTAAAGTACCACTGAATCAGATGAATTTTAAACAATAATTTTTTTCTCCGTAAGCCTAAAAATATATTAGAATTATCTTGCATTCATTTATATATCAAGTTGAGTTTTGTGTTTTCTTTCTTTCTTTTCTTTTCTTTTTTTTTTTTTTTTGAGACACAGTCTCCCTCTGTCGCTCAGGCTGGAGTGCAATTGTGCGATCTTGGCTCACTGCAACCTCTGCCTCCTGGGTTCAAGGAGCTCTACTTCCTCAGCCTCCTGAGTAGCTGGGATTACAGGCATGCACCACTACGCCCAGCTAATTTTGGTATTTTTAGTAGAGACAGGGTTTCACCATGTTGGTCAGGCTGGTCTCAAACTCCTGACCTCGTGATCTGCCCGCCTTGGCCTCCCAAAGTGCTGGGATTACAGGCATGAGCCACCGTGCCCAGCCTCTACTTTTTCAAATAAAGCACACTATCTAGGACCCTGTCTTTATTGTTGTGATTCAGGTAAGGGTTAAACTAAAAGTGCTGCAAGCTCTATTCAGGGGCCAGCACCAACTGTGATTAGAGAAGTACTTGGCCAGACCTTGCCTATTTCTTTTCCTAGTTTAATTGGCAGGGCTGCTGATGTATTGACAAGGATGCCAAGACAAGAATGTACTGGCTATTTTCTCTGAACACTTGTTTCTAGTCTGAATACTTAGTTCATGGTTTTGCATCGGAATTATCTGGGGATGTTTGTAAATATAACATTGCCAGCCCAACATATTTTTGTTGTTTTAAGAGCTCCTGATGATTTTAGTGTACACTTTGCAGAAACACTGGTCATATGTGTGCTTGGCTTCAATGCAAAGATGGGTAGAATGGGAGACAAAAGTAAAATCATACAGCTAGCGCTGCTTTGTCTATAGAATACAAAGGCATCAATGGGAACACCAAAGAAGTGACAGGCTGGCCTGGAAAACCCTCAAGATTAGTTTAGGGAAAGGTTTTTAGAGGGTGATACTGGAGCTGAATTTTGAAGCATAAGTAGAAAAGTAGAGTAGGGGGAGTAGATTGTCATTCTAGGTTAGACATACCTTACCCAGGAGATATTTGAACTAAGACTGTGTAACTTGAGTCAGCATGTCTATGCTTGGATCACAGATACTTAACTTCAAAAGTAATCTTTTAATTTGAAGTTTCTTTTCTTCAGAAGTGTAGTTCATGAATATATATTCATTACTAAAAATTCTGTTGGCTGGGTGCGGTGGCTCATATCTGTGATTCCAACACTTTGGGAGGCTGAGGCAGGTAGGTTGCTTGAGCCCAATAATTGGAGAACAGCCTGGGCAACATGGAGAAACCCCATCTTGACAAAAAAATACAAAAATTAGCCAGGTGTGGTGGCACACATCTGTAGTCCCAGCTACTAGTTGGGAGGGTGAAATGGGAGGCTCACTTGAGCCTGGGAGGTTGAGGCGGCAGTGAGCCAAGATAGCCTGGGTGACAGAGCAAGATCCTGTCTCAAAAACCTGAAAACTGTTAACATGCTGTAAATATGTTATATACTAAATAGCCAAATAATAGATATTAATAAATTATTTCCCCTTCACTTACTTTTACTATTCCAATCTCTTAATTCATCGGTAAGATTCCAAAATCTCACTGAATATTGAAGGAAAACTCAAATGCTTCGTTTATTTTTTTGAGGTGTAATTCTCATACCATAAAATTGAGCCACTCAAAGTGTGCAGTGTAGTGATTTTTCATATATTCACACAGTAGTACAACATCATCACTTGCTAATTCCAGAAGATTCTTGTCACCCCAAAAAGAAAAACCCTGTACCCATTAGCAGTCACTCTACCTCCAACCCCTGGCAACCATTTATCTGCTTTCCGATTCTATGGATTTTCCTATTTTGCACACTTCATATAAATGGAATTATACAATATGTGGCCTTTTCTTTCTGGCTTCTTTCATTTAGCATGTTTTCAAGGTTCATATGTATTGTAGCATGTATTAGTACTTCATTCCTTTGTAAATATTTTAGCCAAGTGTTTTCTAAATAAAATCTTAAAAAGTGACAGTGCTGAAGGGAAGCAAGGTAGAATTTTTAGGAGATAAGTAATCTGTATTGGCTTTCATAAAACTAGTCACATTTGAAGCCTGCATTGCTTTAGAACAGGGGTTTTCAACCTTTTGGCTTCCCTGGGCCACACTGGAATAAGAATTGTCTCATGGCTGGGCATGGTGGCTCACGCCTTTAATCCCAGCCCTTTGGGAGTCTGAGGCGGGCTGATCCCTTGAGGTCAGGAGTTTGAGACCAGCCTGGCCAACATGGTGAAACCCTGTCTCTACTAAAAATACAAAAATTAGCTGGGTGTGGTGGCGCACGCCTGTAATCCCAGCTACTTGGGAGGCTGAGGTGGGAGAATTGCTTCAACCTGGGAAGCAGAGGCTGCAGTGAGCCAAGATCATGCCACTGCCCTCCAGCCTGGGCGACACAAGAAAAAAAAAAAAAGAATTAGGCCACACATAAAATACACTAACACTAATGATAGATGATGAGCTTAAAAAAAAAAAAAATCTGCTGATGCACCCATGAGAGGGGAGACAGCACTGTTCTCTCTTGCAGTTTTCCCTTAGCAGCCCCTTATCTGCAGACTTAAACTAGGAGCCCCTGGCAGAGTCCCACCTCCAGCATCATCAAGTGTAGAAGGAAAGTGAGAGACATTGATTGACTTTATATCTGATTTACTAGTTTCCTAAGGCAGAGATTTTAAAGATAGAAAACTGCCTGGCCTGGCCCAACCCATGATAGATAGGGATGGGTAAGAAGCCCCTGAGATGTGGCAGTATGTGACCTGACTTCAGACTTGTCAGATTAGGGGTTTTATAGGGTTTTTTGCTCTTGTTTTGATTAAGCTTGTTTGACGTGCAGGGTGTCTCCTACCTGTGTTCCAGCCACCTGATTTCCTTCCTCAAGAAAACTAATGTTTACTTACACTATTTAAATTAGTTATTCCCAGGGCTATTTTTATGACTTTTTTTTTTTTTTGGGGGGGATGCAGTTTCACATAATACATGGCAGGCTCGTGTTGCTAGGAAAAACTGATTCCAGCATTTAGATTCTTTGAATGTATTGTTGCATTCTTTCGGAGGCTCAAGCTTTCCACATGAAGTAGACGAATTTGACCCAGTGTTATTGTCCATGGGTACTCTAGTGTAACATATCAGCCCTAGTATGAAAGTTTGTGCTTATTTCAGTTACATTAAAATCTGAGTTGTCTGGATCATTTCTTCCTCTGGCTTAGTAGTGCAGGACAAGATAATCTGAAATCATAGAAGAATAAAAAATCTGCTGAGTTATTTACTCCACCTGGATCTCTTAAGACTGTTCAAATTTCAGACCTAATTGGTAATCTGTGAAATATTAAAGTCTCTAACTAAGCTGTTTCATTTCAGATTCTTCCCAAAACCTTGAGATGGGAAAGAATCATCTTTAATGTGTCAACTCGTGATTATTGAGGCAATGATCATTTTTTAAATCGAGGAAAATGCTTATTAGATTGTTGAAGCTGCTTAGAGGGGCAAAAGAAACGATAAGGCTGGTATCTCTGGTGCTTCGTATTTGGTTCATTTAAGTGTATGACCTGTAGGGATAGTGTCAAAGCTAAGGCTTTTGGACAGAAGTGTGAAATAGTTTGTAAAGATTGGGTTTGGAGTCTTGCAAGTCTTTTTTTCTGCATACTCCTGCTCTTTACAGTCACCGCCTGGCTAGGCCTACAAGTTTTGAAAATTCTTGAATTTCCTTTTTACCCAGTCAGTAATTTTCTTTACTCTGTGGGATTGGTCTCAGGTAGTTCTGCAGTTGATCTGTTCATTAACTGGTAAGAAATGCGAGACACACTGTGGTGTCCAGCATTGGGTCTGCAAATGTTAGACACAGGCGTTGATCTCTAGGAACTAGTTTAGTTGGAGAGACAGTAAGGTAGGAAAGTGTATAAGGGATGGCTTACAGAAGGTTCATTCCTACTGTTGTCTGTTGCTGACCTCTTAATTGACAATTGACTTTCAAGATGGTAGAAATGCTGCTTTTCATGACTTAAATAATGTTTTATGGCTCAGAGAGCCTTACTTCCTAATTCTCTAGCGTAAAACACTGATTTAGGGAATATGAAATGTATGTTTATGTATGGCAGGAGCAAAGAATCTGAGGCCAGACTCTGAGTTTGATTTCTAGCTCTGCCAAATAATAGCTTGGGTAACCTCATTTGACCTCTCTGCTTCTTTATCTGCTTAATATACTAATGTAGCTCTATGGTAATTGGAAGGATCAGAGTGTAAAGAACAGATCCTAACATAATACTGAGCTTTATGTAGTGTTGGTTATTACTGTTTTCTGACTTGGCAAAGATGCTGCTTCACCATAAACATAAAAAGACTGAATGTCTTCCTAGTGTGTGGGAAAATGGTTTGTTCATTTATGTATTTGTTTCACAAAATAGATAACATTAAATATAACTCTCTGAAGTGAGGCATAGATTTTGTGAAAGCACAGTGAATGTCCATTTACCAACAGTGAATAGCAAAATCGGATGTTTTGGGTAAATAACATTTTGATTTTATTAAAATTATATATGTAATCCATTTTCTGTGGGTTAGGTAATAAGTTTATCTTTGCAACTGCTAAATTGAAGTTTTATTTTTTAATCCAAAGTATTTAGGCCCTTTCACTGTATGACTTCAAGGGGCGCCATTTATGCAGACTGTCATACGAATGGTCCTCTCCCGAAAGCTGTGCGCTATGGTTAGCCCTGCCAGAGGATGCTTACTGGGAGGGAGACAGCCCTCCAATATCTGCATGCTTTCATGCTTCCTAATTTATCTCAAGTGTTAGTATGCAGAGTGTGAGAGACTATTTTAATTTTTCTTTCCTGATGGTTTGGATTTTATACAAAATTGTGTTACTGGCACAATTGGATTGAGAATGCAAATCTGAGCGAAATGTAACTTGTTTTTTGTTTGCTTCACTGAAAAGTTCATCTGCTCTGCTTCCATCTGTTCTTGTCTTGCCTTACCTATTACGGAGTCCTCAGGCATTAAATTTTGTTGTGATTGCTGCATTTGAAACCAGAAGTAACCTGAAGAAAAAGGGTCGAGTAAGTAAATAGTCACTAGCTTGTAGGCCAGGAAAAGTACCTGTTTATGCCATATGGTTTTTAAAGAATATTGATTTGTCTGTAAATCAACCAGCCTTGAGGAAAGCAGGCTACAGTAACACAGGAGTGAAAAAATGTGGACATATTAAACTGTTTTTAAGGGCTTTTGTCTTTATCAGAACAAAAAATATAAACATTCTAGAATGTTAATTGGATTTTGGTTATTAGGAGAATGGTTAATTTTATTTAGATTAATTTTATGTATTTCTTTAATGAGCAAGTGAAAAAAACAACTTGGGAAAAAAGCAGGTGCCCTTGGCAACAAATTTTCTCTTTATTTAGATATTGAACGTTGGCATAAATACCAGCATTACAGTTCATAATATCCTTCTCCTTCAGCGGGGAAGACTAGAACAGTAATTATAGGCCTAAAGAATATTATTACAAAAGGGGACCTTCCAGTAGAAAGAAGCATATAGCAATAAGATTTAACTCATTCTAATAATAATAAAGTGTTCAGTCAATTTTAGTGCTAGAGAGAACCTTTTAAATGTTCAAGGGGCGTTTTAGAAGGCTGGAGAGGTAAATGATTTGTCTGTGGTCACGTATCACATTGGTACAATTAAAATTGGAACTAAATTCAGATGTGCTAACTCTTGAGCGCCCCCACCCGCCCTTCCCTGCCCTGCCCTGCCCTGCACTAGGTACACCAGGCTCTGCTTAGTTGAATTAACTGTAGTGTGAAATTAGCTTCTCCTTTACAAGCTCTTAAATAGAAGTTCTTTGATAAAGAGATTAGTTGACTTGTATGCTCTCCTCTTTTGACTTCATTTAATCCCAAAGAGATATTTAGCTTCTTAACTTCTTTACCAGCCCCCCAACCCCCTCCTGCCCTGGTCTGTTAACTCTTACCTTTTCTTCACTTCCTTTCCTATTGAGTTTAGACTTTATTTTTAGCAACCAACAGAAGCCAGCTTGGCTAGTTTAAGCAGAAATGATACTAAGAATTATGAGGTACCTCACACATTCTTCAGGAGGGCTAAAGAAAAGAGGGAGCCAGGAACTAACTTCAGAATCACATCATGGTGATTTCACTGCTCACACTGTGTGCAACACATTCTACAGTGTGTGCAGTGTGATTGTTGATGTCAAGCACAGAATGCTACCACTAGAACTCTGTTGCTGTCTTAGTGGTAACTACTGCAGTTCTCTCCAGAATGGGTTATTTCTTTGCTTGTGATGCGCAGGGAGTGCTGCATGCATACTACCAACCTCATTTTGCCCTAAATGCTTCCAGGCAGTCCTTTTGTGTGACCACAGGTAAGTTTTTCTTTTTCTACAAGTTACTTTAAATTTTTACAATTTTCTTAATCTCCCAGCTCCAACATTATACTAAGGAGTGGGAGCTAAAGGAACATATGAATGAGTGGGGGAATTTTTTAATAGTTAACATAGACAGATGACTAAAACTACATATAAGGGCCTGAAATGAATTACCAACTTGAAAAACCAAGTAAAATTTTATGAAAGAAGAAAACCCACAATCTACATCATTTTTTACATAAAATGGATTAAAGAAAAAAACAAGTTCATTAGTTTCTGCTAATCTTATGATTTTAGTATTCACCACATAAAACAAGCTTTTAAAAATTTTCCCTAATTTTAATTCAGGATGAATACAGAAGAACATTTCCTACCTCACCTGCTAAGTTATATACCCACTCCCAGAACCTAAAATATGCAGTGGGTTTGTTAATAGTGCCTTGAGGACCATGGCACACAGCAATCCCAGTGAACTGTGTTACTAAGCTAGGTCCTTTCTTTTCATTCAGCATTCTGAGACATCTCTGTCAAATCATTCCTGAGATACAGAGTTCGTTAAGATAGACAGCTACATTATTTAAATCACTGAAGTCTTATTTTTATTTTTTGAGCCGGTGCTAAAAAAGAAAGTTCAGGCAATGAAGTGTTGTGTCATTCATCAAATCAGGAACCATAGAAAATGGAGAAGCTTAACTGCCATGAGTCTACTAATTATAGTGCTGAATATTCAAAGAACATTTTTACCACCAAGAACTTCATGAATGTCTTATGAAGGAATAGTTGACACTGTCTTTAGCTGTGATGCCAATATTTGGAAATCTTTGAAAAAACAAAGAGGAAAAAAAGATGGAGACAAGGTTTTTAATCTTTCCAGAAAACTTAAAAAATGACTTTAGAAATAAACAAGAACATAATAGCCCTGTAATCTGGCTCTGCTCTTCATGTATTAATAGTATCCTAACTCACACCTCCAGTACCTTCTCTTAAGACCTTGACTACTCAAACAATGAAATAAACTGCTGGATGCCAAGAAGTTTTGCTCTTTCTTCCAGTTAGTTAGTACCACAGTGCCATGAACAAAATAAGCAGTGAATAAACATTTGTAAGTAAATTCATATTTCAGAATCACGAAACATTTTAGAGCATGTTGATTTCATGCAGTATCAAAGATGGGCAAAATGGTTTACCATCTAATAGATAATTCCAGGTCAAAATAGTATACACCAATTTTTCAATCAAAGCAGTTTTTTTTTGTTTATCTTAATAAGACTATACTTTTCTGGTTGCCAGTTCAAAAAGGAAAAAAAAATTAATGACATTATGGCTTAAATTTACCTTTTTCATGAAGCACCACTTCACAATTATGAAGGATTGAAAATAGCCCTTTTAACTCCTGTGCTGTTTACTATCCCTGCCAAACATTTGACATTTACTGCTTATGTAGTAAGCCGGGCCTGATGGCTCACGCCTGTAATCCCAGCACTTTGGGAGGCTGAGGCGGGCGGATCACGAGGTCAGGAGATCGAGACTATCCTGGCTAACATGGTGAAACACTGTCTCTACTAAAAATATAAAAAATTAGCTGGACGAGGTGGTGGGTGCCTGTAGTCCCAGCTACTCGGGAGGCTGAGACAGGAGAACAGTGTGAACCTGGGAGGTGGAGCTTGCAGTGAGCTGAGATCGGGCCACTGCCCTCCAGTCTCCAGCGAGATTCTGTCCCCCCCACCAAAAAAAAAAAAAAAAAAAAAAAAAAAAGACTCTGAAGCCAGACTGAATGGAGCCCAACAGCTTGGATTTGAATCTTGGCTCTGTTGTTCACTAGCTTTGGTTGATTACTCTTTGTTCCTCATTTGTAAAATGAGTATGAGGATTAAATGAGCTAATACATCTATAGCACTTAAGTCAGTATTTGGCAGAGTTTGTTTTTAATTGTTACCCGAGATTTTCTTTTATTGATTCTTTGCGTATCTGGGAGCAGTGCTTGATAACTGCATGTGGTCCCTGCTTTTATGGGGCTTACAGACTGGTGGGGAGGAAAATATCCACAGACTGCAATACAACCTAATGTGTTTAGTGGGCAAAAGAATTGGGGAGGGAGGTGACAGACAAGAAATAAAGGAATTCAGCTTAACAGTTTTTCTTCTTGCTGTGATAGTTTGTTAGTAGGATTATTCTGGTTTTTGTTCATTGTCATTGTCAGTGATTGGAATAATCTTAAATGCTGTTCCTGAGATGGAATTTACTGACCGATGAACACAGCAGATATAGTATTCCTCATGAGCTCTGTGTGGTACCTAAGCATTGCATGTTTGTTCACTGAACAAGCATTTATTTAGAATTTACCACCATTTACTAGCTGGGGTTCCCCTCTTCAAATAGTTTAGGGTCTGAGAAGTAAACCAGCAGTTACTGGGCGTAGTTACAGTAAGTGGAGAGGTAGTAATGAACAGGAAACTGGAAGTACAAGGGAGAAACTTTCAGACTAATTCAGACCTGAGATACATTCTGATGTATCTCAGATTATATATACTTTGCCTTCCAGAAGTCCCTCCAGCTCCCAAGTCTCCATTCGTTTTCACTGAACTTCACAGAAATATTGAACTGGTCTTGGGTTGAGGAAAATTTAGGATGTAGTGATTTCTAGCCCAATTCATCTGGCCCCATGTATTCATTATTACTTCAAGTGGAATAGAGAGTACTTACCTATTTGTTACCTATCAACTCATAAATAAAGCTTTTCCCAAAAAAGGAATACTCTGGTCTAAAGTACTCTGAGATTTAGTGTTTGGTACCCAGAGTCTTAGATTTTAATAGCTTCTTCCATTTTTCCTTCTCTGAATCTGTCACTTAAGAAATTGTGAGATTTAAGTATGTGGGAGTAGAGGAGAAAAGAAAGAACAAGGGAGGGGCATGTCTTGAGAACCATTATTCTCCATTTGACTTTAGGATAGGCATTTTCAGGAAGTTCTCATGGACCCAGTTAGCTTATCTGGGGGAGTCTAAGTGGTTAGGAGCAAGATAGGCACAAGAGGTGAAAGCAGAAAGGGAATACAAAATTGTCTTAGCTCTGCTTGGTTTGCTTTTATTAAGTTTTCTTAAGCTATTTTCATTTTATTTACTGTTGGAATCTATAGGTCTTTTCCAAGGACATGTTTAGGTGGGTGCTAACCTTGCTTTGGTTTTACCAAAGCAAGGAGTGATCATATAATGTAAGTTTAAAAAACTTAGCAAACTTAGGTACAATAACTTTTAAGAGCATCAGTTTTTTCATTTGCAAAGGAAAGGTGGCGAAATAAGTAGATGATGTCTTATGTCCACTAGGGGGTAGTGTGTACTGTAATAATTAAAATAGTTCTTCAGTGAATTCTTTACTTCATCATGCAGTTAGCTTGTTTGAATTAATTTTTGTTCATTTAATTTTTTTTTGACACAAATTGTTTTTTTTCAAACACAAATCTTGTGACTGTAGCAAACAGTAACTCTTGTTACATGTATTCCTGTTATTAGTGATATCAAATGTTCTGACATTACTTTTTATATAGAATTTTTTGAGGGGAAGAGTGATGCTTTACAGTTTCTGTACAAAATTTTACCCATTATGTGAAATAAGTTAAATTCTTAATGACCAGGCAGTAACATTATAACATGATTGTCTTGTGTTTCACTGTCCAGACTAATATGGGAGCTACTAATCACTGCATGTGGCTGTTGAGTGGTTGAAATATGACTAGTTTAAATTAACATGTGGTACAGGTGTGAATTGCACAGTGGGCATTGAAGGCTATGAAAAAAGATAAAATACATCATTAATTTCATACTGATTTCATGTTGAAATAATATTTTGAATACATTTTTAGATAAAATATATTAAAATTAATTTTACCTGTTTTTACTTTTTTATGTGGCTACTAGAAAATTTTAAAATACTTATGTGGCTTGCATTATATTTCTGTTGGACAGCAGTGCTGTAGAAAAAAGTCCTCATCAACCATTTTTATCTTAGCGTATCTCTAGGTGGCCTTATGATTTGTAAGGAAGTAGTATAGTGGGGAGCTTGAGCAAAACTTTGGTTCTATTTCTAATCCCAGCTAGAAAATAGGCAGTCAGTTTTACTATAATGAGACGTTATATGTTCCTAATAATGTTATATGTTATACAAAGTCATGTAAAATTCACAGGACTTGCAGGTAAAATGAAGCAAGGGGTATGCACTTGAAAATGTCCATTGATGATAATTAACTTTTTTTTTTTTTTTTTTTAAGAGACAGGGTCTCACTATCACCCACGCTGGGGTACAGTGGTGTGATCACAGCTAACTGTAACCTCAAACTCCTGGGCTCAGGCAATCCTCCCACCTCAACCTCCCAAGTATGCTAGGACTACAGGTGTATGCCAGCATGCCCAGCTAAGTTTTTTAGTTTTATTTTGGTTTGTAGAGATGGGGTCTTGCTGTGTTGCCCAGGCTGGTGGTAACATTTTTTAAATGCTCACTTATGGGTCCAAGTGCAGTGGCTCACGCCTGTCATCCCATTGCTTTGGGAGGCCAAGGCGGGAAGATTGCTTGAGGCCAGGACTTCGAGACCAGCCCGGGCAACATAGAGAAACCCATGTCTATGAAAAAAAGTGATAAATAAAAATGCCCACTTGCATATAGAGGGTGAACTTGCAGATTTTCATAAGTAATTTACAGTTGTGTACATAATGAAGAATTGACTTGCTTTATTAGTGATCCCAAAAAAAGGAGCCCTGTTTGTTTTATTTTATAAATTTTTTGTAATTTGTTTTTTCTTTATTATATATTTTTTTCTATAACACACAACTTTGCC